CCGCTGCCGCAGGCAGTCCAGGCACCGGCTCTGCCCCAGAAAAGAGCAAGCATCACTCCCGATGTGAGCGGTCCTGCTTCTCGCCATGCTCCACGCGCGGTACCTGTCCATCAGATGTACTGCGGTGACTGCAAGGCTTGCTGAAGACCCTCTCGGAGAGAGCTGCTGAAGTTTGCAGAATCAATTTTGGCACAAAAAATTGGAGACAAATGGAAAATACTCTGAATGGAGAGTTGAGGAAAACTTTTGCTGCGGGATCCTCCCGCGTGCTCTGGGGTCAAGCTCTGCCCCAGGACTCACCAGGCTGGAGACAGCAATTAGCTGCGGAGCCTTTCCTTGGCAGCGCTATGTTGAGAGATAAGCCATCAGAGGCAACACCAGACGCTACCGAGGGTAACTTCACTTTAATAAATAAAAAATAACCGAGGCAGCCACTATCGGTTAGAGATATTAATCTACTTTTTTTCCAGATTGAAAAATGTAAATCAAGCAGAGCTGCCTCAAGCCAATTTGCAGCTCTCACTGTGAAAATAACCTACACTACTTGATGGGTTTAAGAAGTCTCACATAAAATGTAAATGGGTACAAAATGAATATTCCAGATACAAAATAAATACTTGTGGTTGTACACTGTGTTACAGCGTGTGGTTTTACTCCTGCCTTCCGTCAAAGACCCATCCTTGATCTGACGGAAACCTTTCTGGGCATCCTCTGAAATCCACATTCCTTCTACAGACTGAAAATAAAATCGTGCTACTCACCAAGAGATAAATGACCAGAAAGAAAAGGCAACTGATTTGGATTGATTGCACTGCCACGTGTCCTTTTTGTACCAAGGGCTTTACAGGTATTAATTAGAGCTCCTCGCCCGGGCAGCAGGTACGGGCAGTGGTGCAAAGATCGCTTCATCTCAACGTAGCTACATCCAAGGGAAAAAACTTCACGACAGCACAAGCTATAAGCTGAGAGGACTACCGCAGCAAAGAGAAGCTGGGGGGAACTTATAAAAGCAGAATATAATTATTTAAACTGGAATTTGATCTGGACAGCCCAATTAAACATCTGTTTTCTGCGCAGCACTCGGGTACCCGGGCTGCAGGCTGGCACGGTTACCAGATTTCACTCTTCATCCAGCTCTACACCACCAGTATCATTAAAAGCTGAACGGACCATCTTCCACCTCAAGTTGGGCATAACTCCTGCACAGCGTAGTGAATTCTCCTGATATTGTAAATTCCCCCCCAAATGAAAATAAAGATAGAAGAAAGGACCAAACCCAATTCCTTCTCTTCCTTCCTACTGCAGCGTTTCACAGTTTAGTAACACCCCCAATTTAAAAAAACAAACAAACAAACAACTTTTACAGGTTTTTCAAAGCTTGCTCGCTGACACAAATTTTATCTCCATTGCTTTGTAAATCTTATAATGCAATGGGTTTTTTGGTTTGGTTTTTTTAGATCTGTGCATCTAAATCAAAACACAATTGCGATGCAGCCCACACCAATCAGGAAGAACACAAGCTGGAGAATTCAATTAAAATGCTAAATTAATTCAATTGAATAAATCCTGTTAATGACACATTTTTCTATCAGCAAATTAAAGGAAACTTAGAACTTTTTAAAAGATGATTGGTGATGAATAATCCAGAAAGACACAGCAAGGGCACACAAGATGCACGACTCCAGCAACGGTACAAGATGAAGAACCCATTTCAAGAAGGCAAACATCCGTGATCCCAGGCATTCTCGAACAAAGAAAAGCTGTCCCTTCCTTACCTGCAACGAGCTCAAGTTTTTCTCCAGGATCTCCCTCTGAGTAGAGTTTTGGGTGGCAACGGTACCCGATTTGACTGATAAGACTGGCTGGGAGAGCAACTAGATCCCGTCGTATGAGGACACAGGAGCGGTTCTCCAGTGGGATCTGCTCCGGCTTCTCTTGAGCAACTTAAAAACGAAAAGGGAAAACCATTAAAACAGTTTATTATGCAGGCACAACATTAACAGAAGGCCAGATTTTGATTTTTTCACGTAGCTCTTGGAAATAGTCCTCCCTCCAGAAGCACCACCATTCGCCAGGGCTATCGGGAAAGATCCCCGGGTCTCCCCCACCCCCTACCACAGTAGTCTTGTGGGCGCGTTCGGGTTCTGCAGAGGGATTCTTGGAATCTAATTACGCTTTAACTTTTCCTAAGTTAATCATTTATGAAAACGGGCAACTCTGCACAGCTGGCATCGTTCTAGAAACGCAGCATACGGAGCTGGCTTCCCCAAACACTCCCAGAAGAACGGCAGATGACTTCACCGGGGGTTTCTAAAACAGGCAATCAATTGCCCAAGTTTGATAAATACCTGCATCAGTACCATAACTACTTCTCTTGATGTGGTTTTTTTTTCCTTCTGAAGTTAAAAGTCAGACTCTGCAGATACCCCCTGCACTGAGAAAGGTCATCGTTACTCCTCCGAGGACAGCACCTCCTGCAAGCTCCAACTCACCTCCTGAAGCACCTTCTCTTACTCTGCCTTTCGCAGGCTAACTTCTCCTCTCATTAACGAGAGACCCCATCCAACAAGCCAAAAAAATGTTATTAAGCTGTGGCTTCAAAACCAAATTACCAGGTTTTGCTGGGACACGACCGTGGCTTCACTTCATGCCCTGACGTACCACCCCCGGAGCCCGTCAGCAACCATTAACGTCGAAAAGCTGAAACTACTGAGCTGTACTACCAGCGCCGTGCAAGCCTGGGTCTTGTGGGCATACAGAGGATTCACTTTCTAAAGCACATTTACAGTGCAAGTCCACAGGTTTGCTTAAAATTACAATTTTTGACAGCAAAAGAGGCTGACACGGGTGTACATCAATCAACTCCAGCTGCAGTGGGACACGGTGGGAGCAGTTACAGTTCTGAATGGCAGCCCAGCTCTACAATGATCCATCTTTTTTCCCAAAACTGTTTGATAACGTGGCACGTGCCACGCATAAAATCAAACCCAGCTCTGTGCTTCAATATCTGTGAATACAGAGAGAAGAAAAAAAAAAATCCCAGCAATTAGTGTTTCTGAACTCAAAATGTCTCCTACTCAAGAGGTGTCTTTTCCTGCAATTATTTCGGTGTTCTGGGGGGGGCATTTTTCCACTCTCTAGATAAAATAACAAGTTTTGCAGACTTGTTGCTGCAGTAACCAAAGGGCGATGGCTCCCGTACAATGGGAGCAGTGTTCTAACTAGGACATGACCCGCGACGCTGCGCGGTGCCGTGGCGTCCTATCGCAGGCGCGGGGCTGGAAGCATCCCCGCTCTCACCGCTCCTCCTGCCTGGAGCACCAGGAGGACGGCTCCTGCTCGCGGAGCTGCACCTCGGCAGAGCAGCGTTTCCTTCAGTGGGCAAGGACCAACAGCAGCAGAACAATTCCCGTGATGTTTTAAAACTAACTCCTCTTGCCATCACGGCCCGATTATCTATGCAAAGCGGCAGGGCTTTGGGGCACCGACGTGCAGCCCCTCTGACACGCGGACTTTCCACCAGCCGCGGTGTTTCCCCGTTCAACAGCGCTCCCAAGCACCCAGACACCCTCTCCTCGGAGATGGGCGTCATCATCTGCTCATGCAGAAGGAGCATCTAAAAGACCCGCTAATATTTCTGATGCTTTCAAAGAGTGATAAGCAGAGTGTATCTATTGAATACCAGTATTTTTACCAGCTTAAACAAACCAAAAGCAGATGGGCATTAGGTGTGGGGGAACCAACGCCCAGGCAGGCTACAGCAAAGGGCCACTGCAAAATAAATGCAAATCCCGAGGGCAGAGGAAGCAGCAGGTCTGGAGGACACCACCGCGCGGAGTCCTCTGCGGGTTACGCACCGGCTGAACTAAGAGGGAGAATCCCTTACACCACGTAGGAGCTATCGTTCTGCCGATAAATCCCAGAAACCAGACTGGGACGTCCAAGGTCCTCAAGAGCAGCTACAAAAGGTAGCAGCATTCACCTTTGGGGGTAAAATAGAATTTGGCAACAGCTTTTTGTGCTAAACGCAAGTCCCCGAGCTGTCGGGCGACAGGGCAGGCGAGGACGAGGCCATGCCCGTGCACGGGGGTCCTGCTAATTGCAGGCAGCTCGTCAGGGCGAGCGCTCCGCAGCACCGGGCTCTCGGTGAAGCCACCGCTTCAGCTGCCCAGCACGAGCAGGAAAACCATCGCGACCCCTCATAAGCACAACGCTCTGCCCAGGTTGTGCAAAACTGCATTTTTATTATTTAATTTCGACATTTAACTAATGACTCGGGTCAAAAGCACCCACGATATTCATCACCACCTAAAAACCAGCAGACGTTAAGCTGCTGAAGGGAAGCTGGGCAGGCTGGTACGGATTCTCAGAAACTTTCTCAGAGGTATCCAGTTATTTTTTAAGCGATATAAAGGCTGTAGGTCTCCAGGGGAAGAAGTTGCACTCAACACCCCAAAGGGGATGGAGTTCAGAGGCAGGTGAAGGCCGTCGCAGCTCGTGACCCAATATTGCTGTAACGGCAAGAGAAGAGAACTCAGACTCGACCGGCTGTCAGCCATGCCCTCCTCCTGCCCGCGTCTTCATCAAGACTGAAGAAATTAAACACCTTCAAGATCCAAGTGGCAAACAGCCACAGCGGACAAGGACAAACCTACCTGCTCTACCATTCTCCATAGGCAAATGCTCAATAAAAAAACAATTTTGTAGCCAAAGAGATCACAGAATCCCAGAGTGGTTTGGGTTGGAAGGGACCTCACAGCCCACCCAGTGCCACCCCCTGCCATGGGCAGGGACACCCTCCACTAGCCCAGGTTGCCCAAAGCCCCATCCAACCTGGCCTTGAACACTGCCAGGGAGCCAGGGGCAGCCACAGCTTCTCTGGGCAACATCCCGAGGCAGCAATAATGGGCAAGATCCTAAGGTAGCAGTAACGAGGCGGGCAAGAGAAAGATCAGCACAAGCGCCGTGTCCACGCTACCTTCCCGCAGAAACGTTGAAGGATTCGGTGTCAAACCTGCTCCCTGAAAGAAAAGCAGCTTTTCAGGAAGACAACGCTGCCGCGCTGGCTGGTGACAACCCTGCCTCGAAGAAATTCTTTGCTTTTGAAGACATTTCACTTCCTACACATGCAGCCATCAAGAAGTTTACATTTATTCCTGTGAAATCAAATACTTCACAAAACAAACTAAAATTCGGGCTAAAACGACCAAGTGTAACTCAATCCACTATTCTATTTTGGTTGCATCTGTCCTGCTGGCTCGCTGTCTGTAACTCTCTTATTAAACATGGGCATGAATCATTTTTTTGGACTTTGTTTCCATTAAAGCATTAGCACAAATTCAACGATACTAAACAAAAAACGACCGAAGATTGAGGCCTTTCAGTGCCACCTCAATTCAGCAGATAGCAATCGGTTATGTAAAGAAGCAGGATACAAGAGACACTTTGGTCCCATGTTTTCAAAGAAAGCCAGTCTGTTTGGCCTTTATGCTCTGAAGAACAGGATAGTATTCGCTTCTAATTAATTTGTATCTTCAGAGGGCAGCGGCTCCTTCCCTTTGAATGAAAGGGCAAACAATGTGAAGTATTGTTTAATACAGTTTTGTTCTCAACCAAGAAAGGAGCCTACCAGCTAGCGGAGAGGGGCAGGAAATCATTACAGAGGAAGCAATGCGAGCTGCCAGCCAAACACTGGTATATTTTATTTATTCAGATATACACTTTGATCTCAAACCTATATGGATGCTGCAGCTGGCAACAAGTGGTCCAGAATGGGAAATATCCCCGGGTTTTCTGGCTGAAGAAGCAACCTCAAGCCAACTCATCAGTGTGTGCTCAGAGGAAAGCCGGAGTCGCGGGAATCACCGGTGCTCCACGGCTCCGGGCTTTGCGTGATGCTTGGGGCACGTGTCCTCCTTGTCCCTAGAACGTACCGTCCGGCTCAGAGGTCTGTTACACCACCTTCCTGAAAAAATCCTGCTGAGCCCACGATGGTTTCGGTGACGCCAGGACGGTTGCGTGTCCCACCCAAGGTGCCTGGGACCAGAGATGCTGAGCCCACAGAGCTCCCGTTAACCCTCATGGGTGATGGGCAACAAGCTGCTCAAGGCCTGGCAGCGCTGGGAATTGCTGGCGACGCACCGGGCACCACTATTGACTGATTTCCTTAGCTCCTGACAATCCAAACACCAGGGCTTCAAAATTATTCATGAACACCCAATTCCTACCAGTCTGGGTTCTCCTCTTGACCACTTACTAGATACAAACTTCAACATACTCCTGTGGGTAAGAAACGACTATTTCTGGTTTAGGAATGGGATTCCGAGATACAGAAATATCCGAGTGACGGACCCTCACCCAAACATTAACATTTACAGAGCCCCAACGCGGAACCACAAGTCACGAGCCCTGGTCCACCACAATGGCTACAAAACCATCTCCATCTCCTCCAGCACCAGTCACCACGTATGCAAACGCGTGGATAATTCTCCCCCGTTCTCTACACAGCAAGAAGTTTCTTTCCAAATAGCAGTATTTTACAAACATTTTTATCCCATTAGCCTATTTTCCACTGGCAGTGGGACTACCCCAAAAATAGCATCCCCACCGCAGCCCCGGCATCGCCAGCATCTGCCTGCGTACGTAAACCTGCACCACAGAGGACGCACGCACGCACCGTGGGACAGATATATGATGTAGTCCCAACTGGGATGGTTTACGTTTTACGAATAGTACATTTATAACAATGTACCGGAATGCAGAGATTTGATTTGTGACCTATTTATACAGGGAGGTAATCTGGAATTAGTATAGGAAAAATATTACTGGTTTATAAATACCCCTATCTTGCCTTCGCTTCAGATCTCAGCCAGGAGTGAAACATCTGCCAGCCTAAAATTAAACATCTGTGTTTTACGGTGAGGAAACAGGGACTGGAAGTTTA